TTAAAGATTCATTTTTTCAAACAATCAGTGATATGAGCAATTAGAGAGTTGAAGCTTTTAATAAACCTACGATAAAAAGAAGCTAAACCATGAAACCTTCTCACCTCGCTGATATTTTTAGGAGTATGCCAGTTTTGAATAAACTCAATTTTAACAGGATCAACCTTAATTCCCTTCGCAGACACGATATACCCTAAAAATGTCAACTTAAAGTCATGAAAGACCACTTCTTCAGATTGATATACAATTTTTGTTCTCTTAGAGTTTGCATAATTTGTTTCACATGATTAAGATGTTCAGAGGGGTGAATGCTATAAATTAGAATATCATCGAAGTACACAACCACAAACTTTCCTATGAAAGGTCTTAAAACATGATTCATTGTCTCATAAATGTACTAGGAGCATTAGACAATCCAAAAGGCATAACCATCCATTCATACAATCCTTCCTTGATTTTGAATGCAGTTTTTCACTCATCTCCCGGTCTAATCCTAATCTGATGATACCCACTTCTCAAGTCAATTTTAGAAAAGATTTTAACACTACTTAACATATCAAACATGTCATCGAGTCTAGGAACTGGAAACCTATATTTGATGGTTATTTTATTTATAGTTCGGCTATCCATACACATCCTCCAGGTTCCATCTTTTTTAGGAGTAAGTAAAGCAGGCACAGCATAGGGACTTAAGCTTTCCTTAATCAAACCCTTCTATAAAAGTTCAAACACTTGCTTATGAAGTTCTTCATGTTCAGTTGGACCCATTCTATAATGGGTAAGATTAGGTAATGTGACTCCATGGATTAGATCAATGTGATGTTGAATGTCTCTCATTAGGGGGCAAAGCTTTTGGCAACTCTTCAGGGTTATGTCAAAAAATTCAATGATTAAAGGTTATATTTCTTTAAGAATTTGTTAAGTTGTATCAGATTCTTTTCCTAGCACCAGGTATGCTACCTCAGATTATTTCAATTCATTTGTGTTAAGAAGTAGTTCATGAGTGGTTGTTTTGGTAGTTTTGATATTTTTTGCACGTGGGTCAGGAATATGTTTTTGAGGGTAAAGAGTGAATTCCTTGTTATTTTGAATTAAGATGTATGTGTTCTTTCCCCCCATTATGAATTGTTTTATGATCGTATTGCCAAGGCCGACCCAATAAGATCTGACAGATTTCAAGAGGCATAATATCACAAACAACTTTATCTTTGTAAGAACTCCCAATTGTTAGATTAACAGTGCATTGCTTTGTTATAGGAACCTCACCTCCTTCCTTGAACTAAGATATTTTGTATGGTTTGGCAAGTGGTTTAGATTTTAATTTAAGCTTATATACCATTAGTTGTGAGACAAAGTTACCTGAACTCCCACTATTGATCACTAAAGTGCAAAGTTTTCCCTCAATAGTGAAAGTGGTTCGAAAAATGTTTCTTCTAAGCTATTTATCCTCATTTTTCATTTTAACAGTTAAAACTTGTCAGATTACTAGGAATTGGTGACCATGATCGCCCTCTACATCCACCCTTTCTAACTCAATTTCATTTTCAGGTTCAATTTCATTTTCTTCTTCCTCTTCCTCTAATTCTTCATCATTTTCAATGTAGTTAGTTTTTGGAGGATTATTTTTTCTACAAGTAGCTGAAAGATGCCCATATAGTCCGCCCATATAGTCTGCATTTATAATATGGTTCAATCAGTTTTGGTGGTTCAGTCCGTTTGGGTCCCATTAATCCCTTACCCTTATCTAAAGATTGAGTTTCCAAAGTTTTAGTTCGCACACCAGATATTCCCACAGAAGGTTGTGAAGATTGAATTTTAATCCCACCAATTTGTCGTCGCTTATAAGTTTCAATTACTTTTTTATGACTCCGTTGATATTGCTTTTCAATTTTCAGTGTCATTCGATAAGCCCGTCGAGTTTGATTACATTGTGCAAATTTAGTTGATCTTGAATTGTCCATTTTAATACGTTGATGTATCTAGTGATAGTTCTCTCCTCGGATTCATCTAAGTAGTTCCGAGATTAGAGTTTATAAAAAATTTCGGTGTAATCTTCAACTGTTTGATTGTCTTGATGAAAATTGTTAAATTCTTGAAATAGGATTCGTGAGTTGTCTGAAGGCATAAATTTTCCTCTCATTTTTTCTTTCATCCTATCCCAGCTTCGTATTTTTTCTTTTCCTCTCCTTAGCCTATTATTTTGAAGGTTCTTCCACCACGTTAATGCATAACCAGTGAGTTTTAAGCTAGCCAATTTAACCTTCCTATTATCAGGTATTTCCTTTCAATCAAAAATTTGATCCATCTTTTCTACTCATTCGATGAATTGGTCAGGTTGTAGCTTACCTTCAAAGTTATGGACATCGATTTTTATCCCATGATCCCAATTTCTTTTATGCCTATTTTGATTTCTAGGGACTTCCTCCTCACTTTCAGAATTTTGGGCATTAGAAATATTAACATTCAAATTGGCAAGAGTGTTAGTCATGTTATTTTTTGATGTTGCAAACCCGCTAATTATTGCATCATTTGTTGTCAATCCCCTTGATTATTCTGATTAGTCATTTGTGTTTTTAAGAAAAGACTCACACATCAACCTAGGATATGCTAACCTAGACTCTGATACCAAACATGATGTAGATAAATAGATAGAAAAAGCCACAAGGGGAGAACACCAAGATAAGTAGAACCTTTCTCGATTCAAAACTTAGAATGCCAATATCAAACAAACTTCAAAACAAACGAAAGCCAAACAAACGAAAACTAAATTAAAAATAAAAACAGCTACTCTCAGAAAAACCGTCTAACGGTCACCTCACATGCAATTGAAATAGTAGACAATATAAAATATGTGCTTAAGGGCATGCAAACTAAGGGTCCACCACAGCTACTTGGGCCAACATCCACCAAAACTCCTCCGGTAAATGCTACCAAACCTGCCAACCAACACCTCCAATAGCTCAAGAAGAAAGATACAAGTGAAGTGGAACTTGCGGAGAGAAGAAAGTGATAAGAAGCCCAAGACGAAATTGTAGAGAGGAGAAGAGAGTTGGAACAAGCTCGCAAGTTTTCCAAAGAAGAAACCCTCAGGTTTTTAGAGAACAGCTCAACAATCAACAACCTTTTCATGCCACAAAACATCTCATATATATAGGAGAAAAGGGGTAGCCAAACAACCCAAAACCACCTCCAACCGATCCAATCAGAATAGGGGAAATAGAAGGTCAGCAGGCGGTCCAGGAGCATCACCCGAAGGGCCACAAGGGGGACAGGAACATGCGGCCAGGGGAACCGGAATAGGTAGCCAGGGGAGAAGAACTAGCCATGGGACAGGAGCCAGGCGGGGGAAACCAAAGGGCCACAGAGAAGGGGAAAGAGCAAAAACCACTCCACTTAATGAGCTAAAAAGGAGGAGAACTACCAAAAGTAATGAGCTGAAAAAATAGCAGCTCAACATAAATGAGCTGGAATATAGCAGCTCCCAAAAACACAACAAAACCTGAGCAGCCAAGCCCAAACCGAGGATCCACCAGCAGCCCAAGAGCCAAGGCACCAAGATAACTAGCACACCCAAAGATTGTCAAGCCCAAGCACAACCTACTCATGATCATTGGTTGCCGTCCATCACAGGGTAGCATAAAAAAAAAATCAAAATTAACTATAGAATTCAAATTACAATAAAACTAAAACAAAAACTGAAATGTGCATGCATCAATTCCTCCACTTCAACCATCCAACTTGAATTCTACTAATAATGTCCCCGTCTATACCATCATTTTGAAAATTAGATCCAAGATATCTAAAATGTGTACTCTTTTTAATGACTTGATCGCTCAAAGTCACAATCCCCAACTAATCTATTACTACTAAATTTACACTCTATATATTCGATTTTAGATCTACTCAAACGAAAACCTTTAGACTCTAAGATTAACCTCCATAGTTCAAGTTTTCCTTGAACTCACTCTCTAGTCTTATGAACAAGAAGAATATCATCAGCAAAAAGCATAAACCATGTTAAATCCTATTGAAAATGTCTAACAAAAACATCCATGCCTAAAGCAAAAAAGATACGGACTTAAAGTTGGTCCTTGAAGCAATCCAATTGAAATAGGAAAATATTTAGTCATAACAAATTGTGTTTGAACACCAGTAACAACTCTTGCATACAAATCCTTAATGGCTTGAATATAAGCATTATTAACTCATTTCTTTTCAAGAACTCTCCATAGCACTTTTCTTGAAACTTTATTATACGCTTTCTCTAAATCAATAAATATCATATAGATCCTCATTATTTTATCTATACTTCTCCATCAAACATCTCAATAAATTTAGAGCTTCCATAGTTGACCAACCCAGCATGAATCCAAATTGATTTTGAGAAACATTATCACGTTGTAACCTATGCTCAATAAGTCTCTCCCATAGTTTTAAATTTTAATGTATGACATATTAACTTAATTCCTTTAGGATTCACACACTTTTGTTCATCTCCTTTATTCTTAAAATAAGGGACCAACACACATTCTCCGCTGATCTGACATCTTTTTAGTCTTCAAAATAAAATTAAAAGGTCTTGTAAGCCAAGAAATTCCTTCATCTCCTAAGCATTTTCACACCTCTATTAAAATATCATCAGGTCCAACAGCTGTTCCACACTCCATTTTATTTAAACCTTCTCTAACTTCGGTTTTACTAATACGATGATAAAAACAAAAATCTCTAATTTCATTTAAGACGCTAAGGCCACTAAAGTCATTACCATGAACACCTACGGACAAAGTTCATACTGATTTTTATTCTGAATTGTAATATGAAATCTATGGCGATGGATAGGAAATAACATATAGACATCGATATCAAAGCTAAGGAATTTTCTAATTATTAACCAATACAGAAGATTGTCTTATTTGTCAACTAAAATTCTGTTAATGAAGGCAGAACGATAGAAGAAGATAATAGAATTTTTTAGGGAGGGTGGTGAGGAAGAATCATACTTGAGAGGCGCTTAATCTCAGACTCCTCTTTTGACTTGTTCTCCAGGTAATAATTTATTTCTTCCGCATATTTTTTATGCTTATGGTGGATAATAGCTATGGCCGCATGAAGATTATGAACCTCCTCTCTCAACGAAGCATCAACCTTTTGCAGTTGTGCTATGGTCTCTAGAATAAAAGCAAATTGATTAGCGTTCAAAAGCACAGAAAAAACATCAACTTGGTTCAGCTTAAGACGTCATTTTTTAGAGCAAGAGTTAAAAACATTCATAACATTAACAAAAATGTTTTTAATATTGCTCTAACCTTTTGAAGATGATTTGCCCTGCAAACCCACTGCTAACCCCTCAGTTTTAAGTTGTTGAGAAACTATCATTTCATCGAGATTTTTCATCAAATCCATGGTCTGTGAATGCCGCAATGCAAGAGCATCTTGCACATATTTGATATCTAACCCTACCCCATTACTCTGAATGGTAGACGTTCTTAAAAGCCTGCGCAGAAACATCTCTTCTGGTGGGAAAGATGCGAGGATGTCTGGAAGATTAGAAGCAACTAAATATGACTAACGCATAAATCTAATAGGTTAAAAAGAATGCTACCATGGAAAGATCACATATAAAACAAAAATAATAATAGGAATTTACAGGACCTTCAACGAAATCTTCATGGTCTAGTTCATGTAAATGTTGCGGGTTACCACCAGCTCGTATTCCAAGCAGAACCAAGTCATCAACCAGCTATAGTATGGAAATAAAAGGAAAACGACTCAAACAAATAAATAAATAAATAAAGTAATGTTGAGGAAGAGATGGGTTTGAAATTGTAGATGTGACCTGATTCCATATTTTGTTTATAGTTATCAAAGTTTGGTCATAAGAGATCTTCTTCTCTTGTAGCTCTTTGTACTTTTTTTCCAGCTCATGCATTGCCTTCTTTTGAGCCTCTAACTGTTGAACAAGCTGCTGGTTCTGATATTGGAGAGCTGCAGCATCAGCCTGAAGTACAAAGCCTCAGCATAGTTTCTTAACAAAGTTAGGTGTGAAATAGTTAAAAACAATGAAAAGTTGAAACAATTAATAAGACTATCTATGAAAAACTAGACAATAGCAAAATGCCAAAGCTTGGAGCAGCAAAACAAAAGCTAGTTCCATATAGAGATAATAAAAAAGCATGAGATGGCTTCCAAGGCGTAATGAGGCCTGATAAAACAGGGAGCTGAAACAAAACTAAAAAAGATAAAAAATGATTATTATAATTAGGAGTGTCGATTTCGGGTCATGGGTCAGGTTCTGGTCGAATCTGGAACTGACCCGGGTTCAAACGGGTCGACCCTAACCCAACCCGGGTAGGTAAACGGGTCGGAAATCCGAACCTAGACCCGACCTGGCGGGTTGCCAGGTTGACCCGACTTGGACGCGCGCGTGGACGCGGGCACGAACGCTCACGAGCGGGCGAGTGCACAAGTGCGCAAGCGGGCGAGCGCAAGCAGGTGCGCGAGCACAGACGCATGCGGGCAGGTAAAGAGATAGACATAAGTGTGTAAGTACGCCATGTCTTCCTAGTAGCTTGCTACAACTGACTTAATAATATGCATGTCTTCCTAAATTCAAATAGTCTACATACATATACATATGGACATAAACACAAACATAGAAAGATATAGACATAAGCGTGTAAGTACGCCAAGCCAGCTCGAATTCAACTCTCTAACAAGCTTACAAGTCAAGCTTATGGAGTCGTGAGATCGAGCTCACATTACAACTAATATATTAAACAAGCTAGAGTAAAGCTTGATAAGGCTTTCAACTCATTGCCTCACGAGTTAACTTGATTAGAAATCCTAAATCATGTGCTCTAAGTTAAAATCAATTCAGAATTAAAAAAAAAATTCGTCTTGGATCAGCCACAAGCTCACAAATTGGTTCCATCGATGCCTTTTCCAAACTACAGTGAACCCCCGCAACTACTTCCTCACTTCTAGTGTCATAGATGTCTTCTCCAACAAGCTCTCATTACATCTTCCTCGGCGGCTGTTGTTGGTATCATCAATACCTTAACCAATGAGCTCCCATCATAAATTCCTGGGAACTTATCCCATTTATACCTTTTTCCAGTGAGCTTCAACCATGACCTAATCAACTGCCGCCATTGGTCCCATCAAAACCTTCACCAACAAGTTCCCACTTTGAATTCCTAACTACTTATTCCATCACCAGCGAGCCCCTATCACAACTTTATAGCATCACTAGCATCAATGTTTTGGCAAAACACAAACTCTCGAGTCGAGCTTGAGCTACAAGTTGCTAAGATGAGCCAAGATCGAGCACGAGTTTGAGCCCGAGCTTACTATTAAATAGGCAAGAATAGCTCAAGCTGGCTATGACTTGAGTTCAACTCAACTCATTTACACCCCTATCGATAGGAAAGATAGAAGGAACTGAGTCACGTATAAAAAAAGTTAAATTCACTCAATATACAAGCTTGTTCCATAAATATGCTATATCCTCTCTTCTATATTTTTCAAACAACAATAGTAAAGCAAGTTATATTCAACTGTTAGTCTAAACATCAACATCTTCAATGGTATGCTATCAAAATTTTTGTTGATCAAAAATCATGTGATAAGACTAGAGTATGTTTGCTTAAAATGTGCTCAACTTTTTTTTAATCAAAATCCTATAAATTACAATTTTCAGTACATTATTCTCCTATCTAACAATAAAATAAACTCAGTGTCCTAAACATTTTATGGCATGCGTTGGAGGAAGCCATTCCTGTTTGCTCGTTGACAACATCATTAAATCATAAAAAGGGGAATGAAAGGTAACTATTTATCGAAAAGAGGTTTTCAATTTTTCAGGGGCATAATGTTAATAGAAAAATTCAGGTAAGCGCATATAGTTTTAGCTGCTTCAACTCTGAACATTAATACATTGTAAAGGTATTGTGGTGCATTTTAGTAAGATAATGGATAGAATAATTTTCAGAGTTTAAATCAAAACAATGTCACAAAGTCAAATTGGCTGATTTGGTTTGAAATTGAATCTGAATTGGACCCAATTTAAATCGATTTGGGATCATTCGGTCTGATTGGGTCCGTCAAGCCAATTTTGCGAAAATAGGCTCGAATCGGCGCCGATTTGAATCGAATTTTGTTCGACGGGGCTCGGTTGGGTTCGATGTGGACCAATTTCAAGTCGGCTCGATCGATTTGATTTTAATTTGGCAAAATTGAATTTAATTGCAGCAAATTAGGGTCCAATTTAGGTAAATTGACACTCGACGACGGTCGATTGAGTTGATCGAGCGCGATCGAGTCCAGGCAAGCTCAAATCAGCTCGATTGGAGCCGAGTTGATACGAAAAGCTCGTCAACAAATGCACAATAAATATTTTAGAAAGACTGCTAATTTTTCAACCTCAAATTAAGTAGTGGAAACCTCCATTGATTTTCATTTTGCTTTCATTAATTGAATCTTATTATATATATGTGATTTGAATAAACAATTCTTTCAAATTGTGTGATCTTGGAGAGTTATGATTAAGGTTATTTATGCAAAAAACAAAGAAAAGAACAGGAAACTCAACCCAAATATAAGCCACAGTATTGAGTGCTTGCAGTGACTAAAGATTTTAATAAAGTAACAAAAAAATTATCAAGAAAATTCAAATCATTGCAAAGAAAACGTTTTGAAACAAACTTTATAAATTTTCAATTTATGCAATTAACTGCAGAGGAAAATTAATGTAACCTAACCAACAAATCAAGGATTTAATATGTTTCACTAATTTCACTGCTATTGATTTAATAGTTATAACCAATGTTTAAAGCATTCATTAATCCATTGATCAGCATCTTCCCTTAGAGTGGTATTTTACACACAACCAAAGTGTTTTGCCCATGTTGATCAGCAGACTCCTGTGATATTATCCCATCAATGAGCCATATTATAATTTATGTATAATAACTCCTAATGATCAATTCATTTATGCTTCTCATATAGAGCTATATCATTTCTAAATGAAGGTAATTGTCAAGCAATATTCTCTCTTTACCCTCCATTCTCTCCAATTAACAACCTTTAAAAGTAGGGTTCCCAGGTACGCAGCTCAATCTGACATGTTAATAGAGGAGGTTCATGGCAAGGAGAAATTAGTTTTGTTGAGGGTATGGACAAGGAACCTCATACCTAGTTACATATAATATAGTAGAAGGTATACGTGAGGCGCTCATGAAATAGCAAACTAAATATAATAAGCATATATTTATCAACTTTATGTTAGTATGCTTCTACAAATTATAAATCTCAATTAAAAAATCATGAATAAAAATATCTAAAAACAATTAATTAATAGTGGCATACTTCTTTCATTTTATAAAGAGCACTGTATTAATTAAGCTTCATAAAACTCGAAGGATTCTATTAATTTACCTTTTCATAGAAAACTTAAAGCTCCATTCCAAAACCTATATGCAACCTATAAACCAAGCATATTCAACGTGTCTCAAACTCATGCTTAAAAGATATAGGAATTGGACAGCGAGCAAAGAGGTTTGCAACGTTTAACTTGATACAGGATAAGCAAAATCTAATCAAAATGAACTAGTAGTCAGGCGCATTTGAAATATTTCCTATAGATAGGAAAAAATTTGGCCTTTACAGTTAGTTTTTATTTTGATGAAAAAATGGTAAGTCATCAATCAGCCCACTTCAGGATCTGATTTATTTTTCTGTGCATCATCTTGAGTACATGTACTTATATATACATTTATTCAATTCTGTGTTTTTCATGATAAAATTAGATTTTTCTTTAGCTTATAATTTTTTAATTACTAACACCTTATTTAAGAAAGAGATGAGCATCTCATCACGTATAAGAATGAATATAGTAAATCTCAGATTTATTATTTTCTTATAAGAAAATTAGATCGTTTAGATTGCAAAGATTATAAAGTTATTCCGAGTGAAAGTTTATGTACCCAACATCGCTTATTAGTTTTTAACTTTAAGATGAAGTGACAGAAAACAAAAAATAAAGTAAAGTGATATTCTAAGATTAGATGGGGGCATTTAAAGAATATTAACATAAATATTTTTGAGAGTAAGATTTTAGATCTTAAAATTTTGTCTGTGCATCAGGATGCTAATGTTATGTGAAAAAAATGGCTAGTGATATTAAGAGTATTGTAAAACATGTGCTCGAAATATCAAATGGAAAAGCTCATAATAGTAATAAAAGTTGGTGGTGCAATCCAAATGTGCAAGAAAATATAAAAAAAGAAGATTTGTTATAAAAATTAATTTAGACATAAAAATTTTTTATAATTGAGAAACACATAAAGAGGCATATAAGAAATCTAATAAAGCAATATGTGATGCAAAGATCTTAGCTTTTAATGATTTATATAAAAATTTAGATACTAATGAGGGAGAAAGATATACGTATAAGTTAGCCAAACAAAGAGATATGAGTAGTAAGAATTTAGTTCAAATGAAACATATTAAGGATGAAGATCAAAAAAATACTTTTCTCAAAAGATGATATTCAATAAAGGTTGATGAGATATTTTGCTAAAATTTTTAATGAAGATTATGAGAATGAGATTGATATTAGTGACCTTAGCTCCCTAAATGAAAATAAAGATTTTTTTTCACCGCGTATTAGTAAAACCAAAGTTAAATAGGCTTTAAAAAAGTGTGGAAAAGCTGTTTGACTTAATGATATTCCAATAGAGGTGTGGAAATGCTTAGGAGGTGGAAGGAATTTCTTGGCTTGATAACTTTTTTAATACTATTTTAAAGACTAAAAAAATGTCAGATGAGTGGAGAATGACTGTGTTGATTTCTATTTTTAAGAATAAAGGTGATGCACAAGATTGTGCAAATTATAAAGGAATTAAGTTAATGTCTTATACTTTCAAACTATGGGAGTGAGTTAAGGAGCGTAGGTTACAGCGTGATACTAATATTTCTCAAAATCAATTTGGATTCATGTTGGGTAGGTCTACTATGGAAGCCATACATTTATTGAGAGGTTTGATGGAGAAATATAGAGAGCATAAGGAGGATCTACATATAATATTTATTGATTTAGAGAAAGCATATGATAAAGTTCCAAGAGAAGTGCTATGGAGAGTTCTTGAAAAGGAGTTAATAATGCTTATATTCAAATCATTAAAGATATGTATGCATGAGCTATTACTTGTGTACAAACACAAGGTGGTTTGACCAAGTATTTTCATATTTCGGTTGGATTACATCAAGGATCAGCCTTAAGCTCATATCTTTTTGCTTTATTCATAGATGTTCTCACTAGACATTTGCAAGAGGATGTACCTTGGTGTATGTTTTTTGCTGATAAGATTAGAAAGGGAGTTAAAGGTAAACTTGAATTATAGAGGTCAACCTTAGAGTCTAAAGGTTTTCGCTTGAGTGGAACTAAAATTGAATATATAGAGTGTAATTTTAGTAGTAATAGACCTAGTGAAGGGATTGTGACTTTGGGTGATCAAGTCATTAATAAGAGTATATGTTTTAGACAACTTGGATCTATTATTCAGAGCGATGGTGAAATAGATGGGTATATTATCAGTAGAATTCAAGTTGGATGATTGAAGTTGAGGAATAAATCAAGCTTATTGTGCGATAGAAAAGTCCCACTCAAACTTAAGGGAAAATTTTATAAGATGGTGGTGAGACCTACAATGCTTTATGGTGCAGAATGTTGGCCATTAAAAGATGCATAATACTAAGCTAAGTGTTGCAGAGACGAGGATGCTCAGGTGGATGAGTGGTTTACCCTTGGAGACAGGATATGAAATGAGCATATACGTGAAAAGGTTGGAGTAACTCCAGTGGAAGATGACATTAGACAGAGTCGCCTTCGATGGTATGGTCACATAAAACAATGGCCTTCCGATGACCCGGTTAGGAAAGTAAAGATATTAGATTTAACTTATATTAAGAAAGGTATGGGTAGACCTAAAAAGACTTGGTTAGAAAATATTAAAAATAATCTTTCTTTATAGATTTAAATGAGAATCCGACTTTTAGGTTGAGAGCTTAGGCTTCCAACTAAGAGGTTCAGGGTTCGAGTCTATGTGTGTGCGTTGTGTGTGTGAGTTTGCCTTAAATGGCTTAAATGTCCCAAAAAAAAAAACATGACAAAATGGAGAAAAAAGATTCATGTAGCCGACCCCATGTGGTGGGACAAAGGCTTGATGTTGTTGTTGTGTTTTTTCATGAAATAGGTCAGTTGTGGATTTTATAAGCAACTCTTGGTCTTCTTAGCAGCTGATAACTATCTAACGACAATGGTTGAACAGGCAGAATGTACACTTATCCCATGTATTACACCACTGGATGTCGAGTGAAATATCAGGAAAAGATCTCAAAAGAAAATGGAAAGTGGGAGTACGCCTCCTTTCCACTGACAGCAGAGTATTTAGTGAATCATCAAAACATCTATAAGGAAATGATCCAATCGGGGCCCCAATTACTTTGCAAGGTTTTCTGAAGATAATGTAATAAAGATGACTGGGCACAAAATAAAGAGGGGAACTTTGCATCCATTTTACAGCAAACCAATCAGACCCTTAAACAAAGCCAATAATCCATCGCTTGAGCATTGTATGGTAAGGATTAACAGAAAATATCCACCCGATTCTTCTAAATGATGTTAAGTTTTCACAATGCACTCCGCCCATATTGACATTCCTCAATATTTGTCACTAAATAGCGTACTAACCCGAAAATTTTTGGCTATCTCATAATAGGCCAACCCAAATTCATTTTTTTAAAATAATTAATTAAGAAAAACAATATAATGTTATCAGAAACAAAGTACAGCTGAAACATGTCATAGGGTGGAAAGGAGCATCTCAACCTCTTCGCTTTGTGTGGGATTCTCCCTCTTTCCCGATGCCATATCCAGGAAGCCACCACACCAGACGAGGAGCACTGATGCGTGTTAGGGTTTTTCTGGGGACACAAAAACCAGAGGATCAATGATAGGTGGAAGAGGAGTGAAGCCGGCGGTGGCGACGGAGGCGAGAGTGAACCAAGATACTAAGGGAATAATGAGGAATGGGGTTTTGTAAGCATCAATCGAGTAGCAGAAGGGGCTCTCGCCATTTCGGAGGAAAGAAATGTATCCGAGTTCGCAGAGAAGTTTCTGTTCTGGTTGAAGTATTCTTTATTATTATTATTATTATTATTTATTAAGGGGTTGCTTTGAAAAAAATTCGATAAAAACAAATTAATAGTTAATAATACAAAATAATTGCTAGTTATTAAATATTAAGTATAGGATATATCATTACCTAAATTATGATTTAGATAAATAGCATCATCAAAAGTTTCTCACTCAGTCGGACAAGTCTTGATTCATCTCAGCCAAAGTCATGTCTTGAGTGTGAGACCTATCAAAAACCAAGCTAAATGCACAACATCTCATCCACAAGATATTTCTCATGATTAGGTGCGTACACGAGACATAGAAATGCGTTCGGATTACTGGATGCATTACGTAAGCTCTGCGTACGCTCTGCTTATACTCGGCGTATTTGTAGATACATAACAAATAAGCAGCAAATCCTCACAACTAAATATTTGTTGCTTCTTTACTGCAATACGCAGAGAGTAGGTAAAGCATAAGCATAGTGTACGTAGTCTCCTGAGGCATCTCTATGTCTGGTGTCCGCACCTAATAATTTTCTCGTGCTCAGATCATTACCATGCTCAGAGATAACATCAAATCACCACTCATCCCATCTCGCACCAACAGGGTAACATCAGATCGGCTTCCTAGCCAAAGTCAACTGATCTCCAGACGTCCATGGGTACATCTCACCCGCATTATCTCTCACAAGATCGACACACAAATCGGCACATCTGGCTAAGTTACGTCAAAGATCGATAATACAACTTATGTACTCCGTACATATTCTATTGCAACTCTCCAATTCCTATAAATAGGGAGAGGGGGACAGAAGAAGAAGGATTGGAAGATGAAGAAACATTAAGAGATACACCAAATGGTAGAGAGAGATTCATAGAAAGATATAAAACTTTATGTTTCAAAAAATCCAAATATTATTTTATTTAGTTATTTTTTATTTTAAATTAAGTGATTGAATCTCCGCCAAACTTATTTTTATTTAGTATGATAATTATTATAGTTGAAATAAACATTACTAATATTTGCAAGTAAATATTCTTTCACATGGGATCGATACTCTACTCTATTATTATATTACTTGATTTAACACATATACTTATATATATTAAGTAAGGTTTTTATAATTTTTATATCAAAGAAAATCTAAGCATTATTTAGGAATTAATAGAGCCTTAAATTATTTTCACAATTTTTTAGGTTACTCCATCGCCCTCAGCAACCAAAAATAGTAACAGCAAATCAGTAACATTATCAATAACAATTTTGATATTAGTAGGGTTGGTGACAAAGCAGTAAAACAATACATTAATAGTGATTGGTAAAACAGTAAAATAATCTCTCTGAGTAACATGGATTAATCACCCTTACTCCTTATGAGTCTCAATTAGTCTCTAGCTCCTTATGACTCCTATAATTATATCATCGTATCATGTGTGGATTATCATATCATATATCTGATATCAATCAGTACATCTTTTTTATCACGTTAGTATTAATTTGGTACATCATTTCACCCGCCTTAAAGTTATTTATATTAACCTTTTGTCTTTTCCATTTCTAACACATAACAATTACTCATCTCTATCATATTCTAGGTACATATCAATCATGTTAATCGGATCAACACATTTTACATTTTGGCATTTTATATCAAATCTAAGTACATTACTTTTCAATCCATTTTTAGTATACATTTTTCCTACTCATTTCACAGAAACATACATAACACATATTTAACTGGTAGAAATGTAATAAAATTATATCATATTGTTCAGAATGACTAAATCTATAATATATAAAAACTACATGGTGAAAAGCTTACAAAACCATACGATAATGCTTTTTTTGTAGTTTTAGGAGAGATAAAATTCATAGAAACCAAAGTCGCCAAAAATATAAGATGATAGTTACTTGTGTTGATCATAATATTTTTTATAATATAAGTGATGAATTGAAAAGCCTCGAAACGCTTCCTCTCTCTTATATTTCTCATTTCCTCTTCCTCGCCACCCCCTCCCTCCTCCCGAGCAAGTCATGGCATGAATGGGGAGAGGAGATGCTTTAGTGCTTAGGTTTATAATAAAAAATATATATAAATATTGTTAGTGGCCTAGTGCGGCAATCCCACATATTGAATTTAGAAGTACTATAGAATAGAGACTCCAATGTCGCAGTGACAATTTCTAGCGCTGCATTGCTCAAAGTATAGCGTTGAAGCGCCTTAATTCAAACATAAAATTCAAAAACTCATTTTAAAAAATACTTTTCATTTTTGGGTTGTTATATGTTGCTCCTCTCAGCTTTTCCATGGTCACATATATAGCAAGATGATGTCCATCAAAACTATGGGTGTCAATTTGGGTAGACAGGTCAGGTTCGAGTCAAACCCGAGCTAACCCGAATATAAATGGGTCAGGTCAACCCGAACCGGAACCCATTTTTTGCAAACGGGTTAGACATTTCAACCCGGACCGACCTGCTCGGGTTGCTAGGTTGACCCGACCCAAATTTCCTAGATTTGCTTAAATCGATGAAGCAGCATGAGTCCGCGAGTGCGGCTGTGCGGGATCGCGAGCGCGCCTGCGAGCGACAGCGGCAGAGTCCAAGTCACGAGCGCGACTGCAAGCTTATGCGGTAGAGTTCGCGAGTGCGGCTATGTGGGATCACTAGCGCAGGCGGACTGGCGATGTCTAAGTCGGAGAGTGCGGACCGCGATAGCGGGTAGAGCCGATGGGTTCGACGAAGTCGTCTGCGGTCCGCGGGTCCATAAGTTAGCGAGTGCAGGGTTGCAGCCTGCTGGCGGAGTCCGGAGTTGCGACTCGCGTGCGCGCGACAGCGGAATCCAGGTTCGATTTCCGGGTAATTATCAGGTTGATTTTGGGTTTCCGGGTCAACCCGAATCCGACCCATTTATTTAAATGGGTCAAATATTCAAACCCAAATCCGACCCGTTTGCTAACCGAGTCAACTCGAACCCAGATTTTTTCGGGTCGGATTTCGGGTCGTGTCAAAAATTAACACCCGTAATCAAAACAAGCCCATTGATTATAAAGAGAAAAATGGAAGATTAAGAGAAGCATACATGAATTCTATCAGGATGTTTCTCCCTAATCCAGGAAGACTCTGCTTACCTTCTTTCTACATATTAAAAAAAACGAGCTACTAAAATACATGACAACTAACAGTGGGGCTTTAGATTAATATTCCTAAACAAACTTCGAAGAAATGGATGAAAATGGAATAGTAATAACCTTGCATGTCGACGTGGGATGGAGAGGTCGAGAGCTGCGTTTCAGGTAGCACTTCATATGAAGTTTTACGTCGCAAATTAAGTAATTTTTTTTGAAAAAAGGCCACCAGAAATTTCTTTAGATTAACTTATTACATGCGAAATTTTCGGCTGAAAATTTCCACCTAAAAACCCACTGGAATTTCTTGAGGAAAATTTTCACCGGTAATGGCCATTTTTTTCTATAGTAGGAATAATATACAGAAGTATATTATAAATTGATCCAAGATGCATGACAACTAACAGATTTACTAAATGTACTGATGGTGGAGGATAGAAGGAATAATGCTATCAAAAACTACACGAGACAAATTATAGGAAAGAGTCTTAAGTTTAAAAAAAAAAGGAAAGAGTCTTAAGCTAATTTTATAAAAGTTTTGGAGAGATTAAGGCTTCGTTTGGGACGGCTTTCTTACTGCTTCTTAAAGCAGTTTTTTTGTTCAAAATTTAAAATTTTTGTACTAGAAAGCTGCTTTAAGAAGTAGTAAGAAAGCCGTTCCAAACGAAGCCTAAGTGAATATTAGATTTTAATGTTGATTCAACTTAAACCAACTACAATTTTGAAACCAAATATTAAATTGAATTAGAGTAAGTTGTAGATGTGAAGATCTTAATGTAACTTATTTACACAAAATTAAGTTAATGATGGTGAAACTTTATAGAAAAAAATCCTAAAATAGAGAATACAAAATGAAAAAGGAGAATACAAGTACTAAAATATAATAAATATCAAGAGGTAACTAGAAGATTATTATTATTTCATGTGATCCTTCATCAAAATATCAACCTTTAAATCCTTGGAAGTCATTTTCTTAAGGACAAACATCACCTTCACTGATGAATTCATGATCATATATATAATCATGAATTCTTTAGTGAAGGTGATGTTTGTCCTTAAAAAACATCAATGCAATGGGGATGATCATGTTATCCTGAATGATACAACTACTAACTAATACCCTTCAATTCTATGGGGATGATGTTAAAAAAAATGGATGTGAATAAACCAAAAAAATGATGGCACAAATGTCAAAAAAAATGACAAAGAAGTTTTTAAAAGTGTGGCAAAGTAAAAAAAAAAATTAGTGACCATTTCAAACACAACTAACATACAATGTCATTCAAAGCATGATGAGTCAATAAAAACCTATTATCAATCTAAAAATCAATGTCAATCAAGACTCAATATAACCCACATCCTTTAGTGACTCAAAATACATAAAAATAATTCTACATCTCATCATACAAAAAAGCACTTATATATACATACTATCGTAAGTATAATATAGTAGGTCCTAATTACATAGATCATAGGCTTTAACATGATGATTTTTTGGAGTAAATGCCAACTGTGAGAGGATGAATTGAGTGTACAATAGCACTTTGAAATCCACCAATTTCAATCCTCAATAATAATGTCCTAATGAAATATAAGTAAACTAATAATTAAATTACAAATTAATACATAAATAAGTTTACAATTATAAGAGATGACATATACATAATGTGGATCAAATAGTATAAATGAGTGTCTACTTATTCACCATAATTTAAAGTATTACACTCAAGAATAATAGGGAGTGGACACAAGTAATCAATATATATATTCTTACAAGTCACATCGCATAAGCTAATTATGTCATGGGCTATATGATAAAACAAGTTTGTGAGTATATAACTACAATGAATAATGTTAATGTGTAAATCAAC